TATGAAATTCTGCTAATAATGCTAAAATTGAAATCGTGAATTGGAAATATTAAAAGTATTCGAGACGTTTAAATGAGTGAAAAATTTGGATGTGTTATCATCAATTTATTATCGATACTTCTTTAAATTTGGCAAACGATATCGAAGGAGAGAGAAAGAAAGATTTTCAATATAAATTAAGAAATTAAAAAATAAAGTGAAAAAATTGTTAAAATTTATTTACTCTTTGTATCTATTACATACTTATTGTTTATTAAATACAAATGGAATGTGATTAATCAGATTGAGCGAAACAGAATATATATATATATATATATATATATATTCAAAGAATTTTTAAAGTTAATTTTTTTAAAAATGAAGTTTCATATGAATATAAAATTTTATTTTATATTTTTCATTTTTAAATCAGAAATCGTTTTTTTTCAATTGTATTACGATTTTAATGGAAATGTTTTATACATAAAAAAAGAAATTTTCTATTCTTTTTAATTAAATTGTAACATATGATATATCAGTTCCTTCTGATGTGATTCTAGCTTTTCTAAAAATCCACTCGAATATTATTCAAACTCATCACGCGTTTACAAAAGAAATGTCGAAAAAAACATTTCAATTCCATTGAAACATTCCATTTGAAACAAATTCCATTTCAAATTCATTTGAAACAAGATGTATAATAATTGAAAAAGCATTTAGAGATCGATATTTAATCTTGTATATAGCATTTTGTATGCAAATGATATACTTGATTTCTTTATTAAAGCAATCTATAAAAATTTAAAACGTTCAAATGTATATATTTTATATTTTACAATAATTCAATATGTCGAAAGCAATTGGAAATTTATTATTGTTCCATTTTATTCAACATTAGTGATATTTTTGAACAATACACATACACGCATATGAATGAAAACGTTCCAACAATTTTGCGTCATTGAAAATAATATTTTTCGACGAAATATTATTATTATGACAAAATGCGAATCATAAAATGTTTTCTACGAAATCCTCGGGATTTAAATTCGTCAAAAGTTTAATATCATTTATTACAGTAGCTTTACAATCCAAACGTAAGTAAATTCTTTAATATCATTTTGATCGTAGTTTGTTTTTTGCTCTTTTGTTATTTGTTGCAACAAATGGACGATGGAATTGTATTTACAGAAATGGACCCATTTTTCAGAATCGAAATGGATTGAAACGAATCATGATAAAAGTTTTGTGTATGTAAAATATATATAGATATGTATATACATTTCATCGATCAAGCGAAATCTATGGGTCGATTTATGTTTTTAATAGTCAAATAGTTGTTTTTTTCAATTCTTATTTCTTATCGATGTAATTATTTCTCTTCAATTCACAAAAATTTTTTATTATTTATCTTTTATAGAAAGATTTAAAATAAAATATATCCCTTTAAAATAATTTTAAAATATTATTGTGCTAAGAAGCATTTTAAAAAACATAAAATTAATACTTTTGATGTCACGTATTAAAAATATATTTTACAGAGTGCAAAAATATAAATTTAAAACAAAAATGCTTTGAAAAATATAAAATAAATTGAACTAAATTATATTTATGATTTTGTATATTTGTATGAATTATGATATGTTCTTAAATTAACAATGATAACTTCGTAAATAATAAGGTTTTTCTGTTTTTTAATTAAATTATTACTGACAATATACGAAAATATTCCAAATTTACTGTTTAATTAATTTTCTTCGTCAATTTTTTTTTTAATTGTTATATTCAAAATAAACATTATTAATATCTCATATAAATAAATGTTCAAGAATATCCGTTTATATCATTTATATCTCAGAACATAATATTTTATTTATTTAACTGGATAGAAAGAGGAACAATTTTATGATGTCAATACATATTATTAATAAACATTATCGCGTAATTCATTTACCAAGATATAATAGTAAAATTTGAAAAACAGTCCAACATAAAATCAAAACACCTGAAAATACAATAAACTTAACAATTCTTTAAAACTTATTTTATTATACACAATATATAACAAAATATTATTGACGAATATTTGACGAGACACGATGATAAAATGTTGAAGAGATTTTTTTTCAAAATAATCATGGTATGTACATTTGTAAAAATAATAATAATAATATAATATATATTATAAAATAATAATAATAAACGTTACACATTTAAATTCGAAATGTATTTCTTCGTCGCCCGTTAGAGATGCAACAGGCGAAAATTTGTAAGGATCTTCTAAGGGAGTTGCATCTTACAAGCTTAGGTAGCAAAAGAATAAAATTATACGTATAAGAGTGCAGGTAACATCGCGATACCATCACGGGCCCATGAAAACGTGAAGAGAAATCTGGAACTGTGTATAAAGAGGGTATGTTGTAACTAAAGATTGGCTGCCTTTAAACAGTTTGCCCAACTCTAACGCGCGCCGGCTGAAACAAATGCTTCGTGTTTTATCGGTGAACGTGAATCTTTCGACAAATTTTACGGAAATGTGGGAAAAGAAGTCGTCGCCTCGTCCACGTTAAGATGCACGATCAACGATACCCGCCACGATTTCAATCCGCCACGATTTATTAACGTGAAAACACGGGATCCGATAAAATAATTGTAATTGAATAAATATAACTGTAATGAGCGGAATAGTTTTTGTAATTAAAACGTTGCCAATGCGAGCATTGGCGTTTCGATACTTTATTTCGTTTCTTTCGATATTGAAAAACGTAGAGGCCGGCATCGAGACTGGTTTTAACGATCGCTATAAACGTGCAAAAGTAATCGTACGAAATATTTATTTTCGTCGTTTGATATCGTTCGATTGAGCAGCGCGAACAGTACTTATCGTTAATGAGCATGTTCTAGATGTGTTTTCCTTTTTCTTTATCGGATCAGTACCAGTTTTTTTTTTTTTTTTTGTAATTTATAGAAAAACGTAAAGATACACTACTGCTCAAAAGTATGAAAAAGAATGTAATGCATGTAAATGTTACTTAAACATCTAATGTCGTAATTAAAATCTTAATCGTAATTAATCTTTATTATTCTTTTCGAATGTTACGTGATGTTTTAAATTATTTGTTTAAATTACTCGTTGGATATTTGCTTACCAATAATATAATTAAATTTCGTCGGTTCCATTGCGATATTATATTGTTTCTTATGGTAATTTCTTCCAAGATTGATATTATATTGATATGATACGTAATATTAACAATTACAAAATGATGAGATAAGTTTTTATTCGCAAAACTCAAATTATATTTTTTGTTAGAACAAGAAAGTGTTTGAATACTTTTGTAGTGTATATGAAATATTTTATTATGTTATTTAAAAAGATATTATTCAAAAAGATATATATGTAAAGATGTTTAATCGAACCTCTAATTTCTAATTCGAAAATTTCTATATATCGTTCCAAAAATTAATTAACAAGGTTTAATCATTTTTTTGCGAAAATTTTCGGTTTTGTTAACGAGTTATTAAGAAACGTCCAGACGTTGACGTTAGTGTTGGATATACGTTCTCATATATTCGAACAAACAATCGATTCGACGGCGGTTCATACCCAACGCTACCTTCGACAAACCTCTGATGATTGATCAGTGTTTTGTTATTTGTTAACAAAATGAAAATTTTTGCAAAAAAAAAAGTTGCTTGAAATCAATTAAGATATACATAGAGATACATAGAGAAGAGTCGTTCATTACCAACCAGTTTACAATAGTAATTAATATTTATTCTCAATTTTTCCATTAGATATTAATTATTTTTTCTAATAATAAATGAATAATGTTATATTACGTTACGTTAAAAAAAAACATATTAACATGCAACAAAAAATAATGAGAGAAGTGAAAACCAGCATTAATTAGTATTGCAAATCGATATTGGACAACTTTTCCTTATGTTATGTACGAAGATTTTTATTATTTGTTTTCATTTATTTTCTATTATTAATATAGAATAAGATAATTGATAAAATATCTTTATTTTAAATATATTTATTATTTTTAACATTATTAGAAATAATTGTAATAAGATAATAAATCAAATTTTTTTCTTTAATAATTATAAGATTTCTTGCACGTGCAAAAAAATATACTTGCAATTAAAAAAAAGAAAAACATGAAATCATTGTCTTCTGAAAAAATAGCTTGTAACATTTCATTTGGATTATTCAAAATTGAGATGATTATGTTGATATGATTTTTAACATTATTAAAAATAAAATTTTTGATAGATTAATGATATCACTTGAGAAGTATTGCTACAGAGGATTAAAATTAATAATTATTCTACCGTCAAATTAATTAAAAATGAAATATATAGTTGATATTTTTTCTAATAAATATAATCAAAGTAATACATGCGATTTTTCTTATAATAAATTTTATATTAACAATCATTTAATTGTATAAATAAAAGTATTTAAAATATTGCACGAGTGATATATAAAAATGAATAGTTTAAAAGATTAAATATCGCATGATAAAAAATCTATGCAATCGATTCCATTTAACGAGAAATGTAGAATGTTATATGAAATTATTGTCAATTGACAACAAAAATCTCATAATATATCTTCTATTTTCCATAATTATATATTATTTTTAACTTAGAAGATTATATAAAATTTTAGAAAATATTTTAATTCGAAGTTCGTAAGAAAAACAAGAAAACCAATAAAATATTATCTCGCGTAAAATTTTATAAATTTCAAGATACAATATATATAAACAATCCCATTCATAAAATTGATCTTTATATACACGTATACTTTACACAAAACAAAATGTCATTCTTTCGAGATATGAAATATACGAATAACAATTATTCGAAATAATTATTTTTAAAATAAAAATAAATCGACAAAGAGTGAGACATAACATCCAATTTTTCTTTCTTTTCTTTTTTTTTTTTTTGATTTGTCGAAAACATCGAATTTGAAACGAACATTTCTCCTCAAAGATTGTGAGGGGGAGGAGAGGGGGTACAGATTTCACAGATCTTTCTCACGGGATGTATACTGTCGAGAAAGGGATGAGCCCAAGGGGAATTCGCATTTCTCAGTTGAAGATTTCCCTCCCTTGGCAAATAGCAGAGACGCGTTTTCGCTAATTTCCCGAGCAACCGAACTCTCCCCCCTCTTCTTCCTCCCAAGAAGAGCCGGTGTCACCCACTTAACCCTGCGGCTACATTTCGTTAAGCTCGAACTCGAAGAAAGGATGATCCTTGAGGTGATATCGTCCGTGCAAAGTTTTCCCTCGTTACTGGAAAAAAAAACTTTCGCCTCGTTGTCCAGGGGAATCTTTTCCAAGACTTCCGATATTGAGTAACTAAACTCGTCAGATGGTGCCTGTCTGCGTTGAGAAGTCGTCACGTATTTTCCATTTTGTCGAAGGAAGGGGGGATCCCTTCCAGAATTTTACCGATTTCATCCCCTTAGGCGCGTTCAGTTCGGTTGATCTGATCCCTCGAGTCGTTGATTTAAAATTTTCCTTCTGTTTTCAACGTTGTTGCCATTTTTCCATTTCTTCTGGAAAATAGAGTTACGTGTGTTGTGGATTGAAACAAGCGAGGAGAGAGAGAGCAATTTGTGTAAAAGTAAGTTGAAGGGAAAAGAGAATGAAAATGTTTAGTTGAAAATTTTATTTCAATTTTTTTCTTCCATTTAAAAATTAAAATCGCAAGAAAAGTTGAATTTGAAATATTGTAATTATTTGTTAATAATTAATCTCGATTTTATTACGCAATAAAATTTTAATCTAGTTTTTTGCTTATTTTTATACATAAAATAATGTCTTAATTTATTTATTCGCATTTCTCAATTAATACCTTTTTTTTTTCACTTAATTTGAATGTACAAAAACACTTTATATACAATATATATATATATATATATTCATAATTCAGACATTAAATATTATTTACTTACAGAAATATTTAATCCTATATTATATTGTAACTTATTCATTTCAAATTATCCGCGAAAGATACGATTAATCCAACTTATAATAACATAACTTTTTAACCGTTAAATGTAAAAAGGATTTTAACGCGCATGTTCTTGCGAAACAGATTGTGGAACACTTCTCTACTCAAATAAAGAGGTCAGAAAATATTTTCACCGCTATATTTTAGCGCGGAAAATAAGTAATGAAGCTTCCGCAAGGAGTTTTTGGGGGAGGACCTGCGAGATATTTCAGATACCCGACAAATTTTACGGCCCACCCCCACGGCCTTTACGAGCGGCTATGAAAGATCAAGCGAGCCGATGCTGACTCGGGCGAAGAATATTTATTACCCTGAATACGTACTCCATCGTGTGTATAGGCACGCGTATACCTGGAAGTGTATCTAGAAACATGGAACTAGGGTGGTCGTCTTGTATACACGCAGATGAAACGTATTAGATCCTGAGGTTTATGCTCGTTCCTCATTGAAATCCTCCTGCCTCTAACGAGACGCATTGTACAACCCTCGTTTGATTATTTATTGGCTCGCTCGTTCCGTGTTGTATGGAAATCGTGTTAAACGAAAGAATATTAATATTGATATTGATATTAATGGGACGAATAAATGTGTTGGAAGTGTCAATAAGATGATGGAAACATTGATACGAGGGTTGTCGTGCAGATGAAATGATAAGGAATGATGATAGTGGATGAACTAGATTTAATCGATTTTTAAAAGTTTTTGAATGAAAAGGTTCTTGGACTGAGTGAGTTATCGTCGAGGAAAATTTGACTTGCACTGATCAGTTTCTGAACTTTTCAATTATTAATTTCGTAGTATATACAAAGGCGTGATGAAGCTTTAAGGGGCTTTGAGCTTTCGAGCCTTTAGGACGTTATTGTTATATTTTTATTGTAAATATTTCAATATTTTGAAAATAGATATATAAGTAAAAAAGAAATAAAAAATAAAAGAGTAAGATATTTCGGGTAAACAGTTTTTATAAGCACATAAGCTTAAAGAAATATGATGATACAAAAGAAAAAATATAAAAGTCGAGTAATATATACATTATTTTTATTTCTGATAGTTATTGTATTTATAAATTAATTTATTAATAAGTAATATTTATTCAAATACATATTAGTAAAAGCAGCTATTTTATTCAAAAAATTTATTCTATAGTTGTATAGTTAAATTATAATATATTGCTTCTACGCATTGGATCTATTAACATTTACATTTCAGACATATATATTGATGTGAAATGTTTTATAATACAATATACTACCATATTTATAACTATGTTTTAATAATTATATGTAGATAGTGTGCATTATATTCAAATTAATATTTATATAGCTTGCAATTTGCTTTTTTACTTATCAACATATCTATAATTATATAAGAGACAAAGTATAAACATGCTAAAAATATGGAACAAATTTTTTTTCATCATTTATTAATTCTGTAACATATTCTAGGTTTTAATGAGATAATATATTCTAAAGTAACTTTTACAAGGATTGTAGAATTGTTGTAATATGACCAATATAACTAATCTAATATAACTGGAAACTAGAAAATAAAATTTTACTAGAATAAGATTATAGATATAGAATTATAAAAAAAAAGAGTAAGAAAAGTTTATATAATGAAAAATCTGTCGTTATAAAAAGTTTAATTGAAGTTTATTTGTAGTAATTATGATGTAATTCTATCTAATTATAAATCATATTTTAATTGTATATCTAAAAGACTAGTATTATAAAAATATAGATCTTTTTTTCTTATGAAAAATATATATTCGTCTTCGTAATTCCTTCGAAAACCTTTTTATCAATATAAATATTATTTTCAATTATACTGTTAAAATGTTTTTATTGAAATGAATTTTGATTTTTAACAAAAAACGGACATAAATTTAAATTAAATAATTTAGTAAAAAGTGTTAAATTTAATTGACATAATATTCTGTAATAAATCAATATAGAATAGAAATATAATACATTTTAAATAGCAAGCAAACATTTGTATATTGTCAAATGCTTAGAGCTTTGTTATTTTTTTAGAAATATACATTATATTGTACTATATGTACAAAAAATCAATCCTCTTATAATATAAATATAAATGAATAGCAAAAGAATACATTTTCCATCGAGATTAATTTAATTATATATCGTGTCATTTCTTTCGTGTAATGACGAAAAATCTTCGAATGATTGATCAGTTTTATATATATATATATATATTTATATATACAATTATTATCGCCATGTAGTATGTTCATGTAAATACATATAAAACATCGAGCACAATGTCAAATCTTGTTTTCAAAGATACTTCGAGCGCAAACGAATAATATAAATCAACCTTAACCTATACAAAACGGCGGTATTGAGCGGAAGAACGCGTGAAATCGCACAATGACGATAAAATCACGACATATCGTCAACCGAACTATTGTTTCTCTCATGAACAATACATTCCACAAATATTTTATAAAATTTCATCGCAACCATTCCTCTTCTTTTTCTTCTTCTTTTTCTCCTCTTCTTCCTCCTCTCCCTCTCCCCGCGTTTCCTCTCTCTCTTGTCACAGACACGACAGAAACATTATGAATGGCGGTGGCAGAGATGCATATTAATTAGGAAACCGATAAAACTGATAGGTGCACGTACGCGCGTAAAACGATCGTTTCGGCGTATTCATAGGCCGTATCGCGGGTGGGCACGGGTTCGTTTATATTCGTGGCCCGTTGTTCGACATTTTATTGCGAGGACGAACGCGTGTAGTAGGCGGACGTGCGCGCCACCTCTCGGTGTGCGTTTCGGTATGGAAACCGGGATCAAGTAAGTACGTAGGCGGTGTACACACAGAGCAACTTGTGCCATTGCGCTTGTCTGCGATCCACGCGAATAAAGAGAGGTGTCCAACGATGCACTTCCCCTCTGTCGTGCACTTAGCGCCCCGGCGAAATGATTTATTCGACGTTTACTCAAGGTCTTTAACTCTCATTAAAATAACCGCCAGCCCAAGGTTCGCTTCTCTTTTTTTCTTTCTTTTTTTTCTCTCTCTCTCGCGCGCGCTTTTTTTGGGGTTCTTTCGCTTATATCGCCTTCTTCCTTCGTTTTACCCTTCGTCGTTCCAAAGGACTCCCCTCAGGGGATGGGAACGGAGCCACCATCAGAATTTTCGCTTTTTACCCTGTGTCGCACGTTGGTGTTCGGCTGAAAGCGATCCTCGCTCTTATTTCGCGCGTGGAAGCTCGTACAGGGTGTCTCCGAAATCATGGTGCAAGCGGCGATTCTCTACGCGCGAAAACAAGTCGAAGGAAAAGAATTAACATTTTTTTCAGGCTTTTGCGTTTTTCAAGTGAATCGAGAAAATTTCAAAAAAATTTTCAAATATGAAAACGAAAATAATTATTTATCGATATATAATTCTATATGTGAAAATAAGGAAAAAATGTAGAATGAAATTTTATCTTGCTTGTATCTTTATTTTTGAGATTGAATATTTATAGTCAAGGAATCGGTGTTATTGGCGAATTTTTAAATTCAATATTTTTGAAAACTAATAAAAAAAAAATTTATTCTACATTTTTTTGCTTATTTTCACATGTAGAGTTATGGATAATTTATTCCTATCCAAAAGTTAAAAGTAGCCAATTTCTCTTGTGCTTGATAATTTTTCAAATTTGATTTGTTTGAAGCTTTAAACGAAAAAAATATTATTCTTCTTTTTCGATGTATTTTTGCGTGTATTACGATTTCAGAGACACTTTGTATATATGTAATTCCGATATATACACGTTTACGTCGTGGAGCATGAAATCTAAATGGGAAATTGTATCGTGCGTTATGTAACGAATCTTGATAGGCGAGTTTCGTTCAACTGGTTTCATTCATTCATTGTTTTCCATCGTGTTTTTGAGTGCATTATTGTAATTTGACAAATGATTATTACGTTTAAGATTTTGTTCAAAATAATTTCAAAATAAAATTGAGGATTCACAATTGTACTTATCATTTCAATATTGATATTCTTACCGATTTTATCCTTTTTTTGAGGTTATTTCTTATTCATTCTTTCATGCAATAAATTATTAAGAATTCATCCATTAATTCTAATTCTTAATAGGATTATTATATTTTGAAAATATTTTGAAAATATTCATAAATATTTTTCTGTATATCATTCAGAATACAAATCATAATATATGAATACTAAAGATATTTGATTTAGATATGGTTATAACGGAAAAATTGTTTCACCATTGAGAATCTAGACAAAACAGTATACGTTCGTTCGATCTTAAAATAAACGTATCGTAAACGAGAAAATTAACTTTGAAAGTCTCAAAGGGTTTACGACTCCGATAATTTTGTACGCGATACGACGTGTGTAAAAAATGAATGGATGAAGTTTATATGGATAAAGGAAAATATCTAGAAAGCTTACTATGGTGATATCGTAATACATCACTGTAATATATCACTTATTTGAATAAGAAACAAATGCATAAACTTATTTTTGCACAAGAATATCATTTATCAAATATATTAATGAAATGGAGACAGATACGTTTATATTTTTCTTTCTTTACAAATTTTATTTTGTTATTTTGTTCAACATATTTAATAATATAATCAAAATAATATAACATACTTAATATGAAAGAACAGACTAAAAGGAGAAAAAATATTTAATAAAAGTAAGAGAAATTAATAAAAGAATTTTTTTAATGGAAGTATCTTGTAATTCATAATATAAGCGAAGCCAAGATTCTATAACTTGAAATGTGAAAAATTAAGAATTACAAAATCGAGAAAATCATAATTTAAATAAACATTTGAACTTAGTTATAATTTTTATCATAGAGTATCTAATAATTGCTTGAGAATTTATCATATATCTATTTAAAAACAATATTTTTCAACTTTTTTACAATCCCTTTTTCTATTATTCAAATATTTGCAATTTCATTTACCAACATAAGATAAGGAAGATTGAAAAGATTTATCGCTAAGTGACATTACTTTTGAATTAGATAACATTCTAATATTCAGAATATAAATCACAATTAGATTAAAATGCTAGAAATCATTAATTGAAAATAGCAATAGTGATTCAAGTAAAGCATTTTTAGAACATACTTTCAATTTCTATATTGCTGCAATATTTCATTATTTCAAATCATCGATCAACTATCA